TTTGCTTCTGTGAAGACTGACAGCCTTGGAGACCCTGTGGGCAGTTCCACTCTGTCCTCTAGGGGCGCTGTGGGTCAGAATCCCCTCCAGACACTGGGTTTGGTTTGGGCTTTGCTTCTGTGAAGGTAGGAGCTCTGGTAGCTTAGTGCCTAAGGCACCTGACTGCTAACCAGAAGGCTGGCGGTTCAAACCCACCAGCCACTTCTCATAAGGAAGGTTGGGCAATCTACTTCCATAGAGATACTGCCTCGGAAACCCAAGGAGGGGGTGGCTATGAGTTGGATCTGACTGGATGGCAGTGAGTTTTGTTTTTTTTTAGTTTACATTGTTTACCAGAATATAAAAAAAGACAATAGAAATTAGTTAGAGGGACTCTGTGGTTTTTCTTTACATTTTTAAAATATGGAATTACGTATTTTAAATGTAGAATTGACCCCTGCTGTGAACGTGTGAGACTTAAGTGCTGGTCCCGCACACACACCCATGTGTACGAGCGTGTCCTTAAGGAGTTCGTCTCGTAGGGAGACTGACGCTCACACAGATAACTGCAGTGCAGTACAGTGTAAGGTAAGGACCGCATGGGAGCAGGGTAGTTAGAGGATAGGGTGCTGGCTGCGGGGCCGTTTGTGCAGCCCTGTTCTGTGCACAGAATGACTTGCGTGTCTGTCTGTCATGGAGCCGGTCAGTCGTGGGTTCCCCCTGACCGGTAGGAAGGGGGTTGATGGGCCACGCTGGACTTTGTTGAAAAGGATGATGAACCGGATAATGACGGAGACTGTAGAAGCCCCTGCCATCTCCGGGTTTCTGTTAACGGTGGACTTGCTTCTCTCCAAAGTTCTTTAATCAGGTCCTGATGCTTGGGAAAACATCCATCAGCGACCTGTCCGAGCACGTCTTTGACTTAATCTTGGAGCTCTACAACATCGACAGTCATCTGTTGCTCTCCGTCTTGCCCCAGCTTGAGTTTAAATTAAAGGTAAGTATCATCAACACCCGTGCTTCTGCCCGCCACGCAAGCAAAAAGCAGGAGCTGTGGCTTTTCACTTCTTCCAGTCATTTCAACTGAACGTAACGGGGCGCAGTTCTTGCTGCACCTAATTTACACGTGTGTCTCACCTGCTCTGATCTCCCGTGCCTGGCATGGTGCCCCGCAGGCAGGAGCTGCTAAATTAAGGATTGTTGACAAAAAAAGGAATGATTAGCTATGGAAACTTAGAGACGTCTGGTGGTGCAGTGCCTAAGGCCAGCTAAATAGAAGGCTGATGGTTCAAACCCACCAGCCACTCCTCAGAAGGAAGATTGGGCAATCTACTTCCATACTGATAACCACCTTGGAAACCCAAGGAGGGGTCGCTATGAGTTAGGTCCAACTCGACAGCATTGTGTTTGGTTTTTTTTTTTTTTTTTTTTAACAGGTTGATTAAGGAGATCTGGTGGCCCAGTGGTTAAAAGTATTTGACTGCTTAACCAAAAGGTCCATGGTTCAAACCCATGGGAGAAGGACATGGCAGTGTACTTCTGTAAAGATTGTTGTTGTTGTTGCTATGTGCCATTGAGTCAAGCCTGACTCATAGTGACCCCTCCTTTGGTTTTCCAAGGTGGTATCACTACGAAAGTAGATAGCCGAGCCTTCCTTCTGAGGAGTGGCTGGTGGGTTTGAACTGCCAGCCTTCTGGTTAGCAGTCAAGTGCCTTAGGCACTATGCTACCAGAGCTCCTTGGAGACCCTGTGGGGCAGTTCCACTCTGTCCTCTAGGGGCGCTGTGAGTCAGAATTGGCTCCACAGCAGTGGGTGTGGTTTGGGCTTTGCTTCTGTGAAGATTGACAGCCTTGGAGATCCTGTGGTGCAGTTTCACTCTGTCCTCTAGGGGCGCTGTGAGTCAGAATCCCCTCCAGACACTGGGTTTGGTTTGGGCTTTGCTTCTGTGAAGACTGACAGCCTTGGAAACCCTGTGGGGCAGTTCCACTCTGTCCTCTAGGGGCGCTGTGGGTCAGAATGGACTCCACGGCAGTGGGTGTGGTTTGGGCTTTGCTTCTGTGAAGATTGACAGCCTTGGAAACCCTGTGGGGCAGTTCCACTCTGTCCTCTAGGGGCGCTGTGAGTCAGAATGGACTCCATGGCAGTGGGTGTGGTTTGGGCTTTGCTTCTGTGAAGACTGACAGCCTTGGAAACCCTGTGGGGCAGTTCCACTCTGTCCTCTAGGGGCGCTGTGAGTCAGAATTGGCTCCACAGCAGTGGGTGTGGTTTGGGCTTTGCTTCTGTGAAGATTGACAGCCTTGGAAACCCTGTGGGGCAGTTCCACTCTGTCCTCTAGGGGCGCTGTGGGTCAGAATGGACTCCACGGCAGTGGGTGTGGTTTGGGCTTTGCTTCTGTAAATATTGACAGCCTTGGAGACCCTGTGGCCAGTTCCAGTCTCTTCTCTGTGAGTTGGAATCACTTCAAGGGCAACAGGTTTGGGTTTTAGGCTTTAGGTTGATCATTTATGAACTTAGGAATTCTGGTAGCATAGTGCCTAAGGCATTTGACTGTAACCAGCCACTCAACGGCAGTGAGTGTGTTTTTTTTTTTTGTTTTTGGTTTATTTATGAACTTAGATTTCTCAATTCTATTACGTTTTGACATTTTCAGGGTACACGTTTCAGAAATTTCTTGTCTATATATCCAAACTCAAAACTTACTGCCGTCAAATCGACTGGACTCATAGCGACCCCTCCTTGGGTTTCCGAGGCAGTATCACTATGGAACTAGATTACCCACCTTCCTTCTGAGGAGTGGCTGGTGGGTTTGAACTGCCAGCCTTCTGGTTAGCAGTCAAATGCCTCAGGCACTGCGCCACCAGAGCTCCCATACAGTGTCTGTATATAGTATTGTTTTATTATTACTTTTTTGTCCTGAAATTACACCAGCACCACAGCAGGTCAAGTTAGGGTCCTGTCTGTTTCCATGAAGCTGCTGCTGTTGTGCCTCTGATTTGACTCTGACTCACACTGACCCCATATGACAGTAGAGCTGAGTTGTCCCGTGGGGTGTTCTGAACTGTAATCTTCCCAGGAGCCGACCTCAGTCCTTTCTTCACGGATCTCTTGGTGGTTTCACATCGCAGCTCTTCTGTTCAGCAGCCGAGCGCTTACCCACTGCCTCACCAGGGCTCCTCTTCCTGCTGCCTGCATTCTCGGTGACTCTGTGGACTCTCAGCTTCTCTCTTGTTAAGATTCTGAGTTCTCCTGTACAGTCTTGATCATCTCTCATTTTCCGCCCAGACCTTGTGCGGGTGGATGGACTGGTGTCCTCTTGTGGGTGGGGTAGCATTTCCCTCTCAGTGGCTTTCAGGTCGGGTCTGGAATGAGGCTGACTGTGCAGGTCGGCACTCTCTGTTGACGTTGAGTTCTCGGGGACATTTAAAGCGGTCCCCTTATCCAGTCATGCAGGTGGTTTCAGGCCCGGTATCGATACTGTTGTCCCAAGCACCCGGCATCGTGCACTTGTCTGTGGGGAAAGCTCATTTCCTTTTCAGTCAGTCCGTGGAGTCTTTTCACTGTTGTTTTGCCTTTAAACGATGCTGTATGATAGACCGTTTGTGGATTTGGGGAACGACTGCTTCAGATTGTTACAGGGAGGTGAAGTGAAGCTGCTTGCAGTTATGTACGAGGGGCCCCAGGGTCCCACCCAGACAAGTCCTTCAGTGATTTCCATGTTGTATTTCCTTTCTCCTACATTTTCCACTTTGTCTCTTTACAAAAGTAAGCGAGATAAACAGTCTGTGTTGGCACTGTGAGCACCTCAGATGCCCAGCAGCAGTTCCTGCTTCATTCGGAGTTGTTATTGTCAGGTGCCGTCGGTCGGCTGCGACTCATAGCGACCCTCCTTATAGCAGTGACATGCTGCCCATCCCTGCGCCGGCCTCACGGTCCCTGCTGTACCTGAGCCCACTCTTGCACCCACTGTGCCAGTCCATGTCGTTGAGGGCCTTCCTCTTGTTCTGAGCACTTTTGGAATATTTCTGCAGTGAATCTTGCGTTTCACTTGCCTGTGTCTTGAGTACTTGCTGGCTGTGGCATCTTCCCACACACTGTCAGAGACCTAAGGAGCCTGTGTGGTGCTGGCCATTTGCAATCAGCCGCTGACCACAGCTGGTGTTACAAACCCAGCCAGCGGTGCTGCGGAAAGGCCAGGCAGACGGCTGCCATAAAGGTTGCACCCAAGAAAACCCCGTGAAGTAGCGAGCAGTTCTGCTCTATAACACATGGGGTCGCCTTCAGTTGGGGGCCAATGTGACAGCAGCCAACAGCCCTCTAAGAAATATCTAAACGAGGGTATGGTCACCCCTGCATTTAGCAAACTGAGTATCTAGTATTAGAAGAGGAAGTTATAATAAGAGGTGGGATGTTAAAATTGTAATAAAAAATTCAAGTAACATTCATTGGGGAGGCCAAAGGGGAGGAAGCAGCGTGAAGAGCTGTGGAGGTCGGAAGGGGCAGGGGAGCGAGGGCAGCACTGGGCGCCACAGCCGGAAGGCGGCATGCAGCGAGTTCCGGTCCCCTGGCCACACGTGACAGTCCTCCCCCGGGCTCCTTACCAGCCAGCGGACACGCAGACCGCACACCAGGCCCGCAGAGGCAGAATCGCTGCTTTTCGAGTCTGGCACCAGGATGATTATTTAAAAAGCCGCAGAGGGAATTCTAATGGGCAGCCAGGGTTAGGACACACTCACGTAGCGGGACGGAGGCTGAGGGCACAGAGGTGCGTTCGGTCACATTGTGGGCCTGCTGAATTCCAGGCAGAAGGACTTGTTCAAAACTGAGGAAATCAGAGCGTTCGCCACGGCCCCTTGTGCCCCGCTGCCTCTCAGCGCCCCACCTTGTGGCCTTCCTTCACGGCCGAGTCCGCCGGTGTGGCTGCCTCACTTGCCCAGCCCCTGTGTCCCTCCCTGGGGGCACCGCGATCAGCCAGCAGATTGGCTCCTGCTCCTCACGGTGTCCACAGGCTGGACTCGGCAGCAGAACTGGTGTTCCAGGCTACAGGTCTTCACCATTCTGCTGTTCCCTTCCCTTTCCAGCCTGGTATTTGTAGATGACTTGGCTTTCCTCATAAAATTCAGATTCTCTTCAGAATCTCCTTGGGCACACACATTAGCTCCATGGAGTGCCCAGAGTGCATGGCCTTCATGCGGAGCGCTGGGGGCGTGGGAGGGCTGGCCACCAGCAGCTTGTGCTGAAAACCAGAAGGAGTTTCCAGGGTCCTGGGCAAGTCTTACCGGGCTCAGGTTTGGAATTGGACACTGTGTGGAAATGAGTCTCATCTGATCTGCCTGTGGGATGTGTCTGCACACAGCATGTGCTGTGTCACTCTCATTTGCAGCAGTCACAGCACTTCAGAGAACGATGAACCTGTGCGAGCCCAGTGGGCATTTTATGTGTACTTTTCCATCTGGAACTTGAGAAAGGTTTTCTGTGGAATGGGCCCCAAAATCCTCACTGCCGTTGAGTCCATTCTGACCCACAGCGCCCCTAGAGGACGGAGTGAACTGCCCCACAGGGTCTCCCAGGCTGTCAATCTTCACAGAAGCAAAGCCCAAACCACACCCACCGCCGTGGAGTCCATTCCGACCCACAGCGCCCCTAGAGGACAGAGTGGAACTGCCCCACAGGGTCTCCAAGGCTGTCAATCTTTACAGAAGCAAGGCCCAAACCACACCCACTGCCCTGGAGTCCATTCTGACCCACAGCGCCCCTAGAGGACAGAGTGGAACTGCCCCACAGGGTCTCCAAGGCTGTCA